AAGCTGGCTAGAGAGGGCAAAAGATAATACGAGAGATGGCAGGAAGTGGAGGGGGAGGAAGGGAAATGGGGGATGAGGAAGACGTGGGGAAGGAGGAGCAGAGGGGGAGAAAAGATGGAGTGGGAAAAATCAAGTACTTCATTCAGATCAGCAGCATCTGGCTTCTCCATTTGTAAAGTGGGCTGGGCAAGGCTTCACGTCATATTTTGGTATAAAATGATTCAGAAGAGACACTGGAAATGATGTGTGAGGGAAGGGAAGTGTTTTCTTAACCTCTTGATCCTCGACACAAGGCCCCTGGGTTCTATCTCTAACACTTTACAAACTGGGCATGGTAGCACGCACCGGAACCTCAACTTTGTAAAGATTAAAAATACCTCATGTAGGTAAAATCTTCATGCAATGGTCACATGTGAAGACTGCTCAGTGAACATTATCTGGTGCTGTTATCAATAGTGATACTTTACTGCAGAAGCACTCATTAGGTTGTAGAGACCTGGGAAAACGGAAGTCAGAAATGAGGAACTAGGCTATGAAGTTCACATCTCTGGAGGCAGAAAGTCATTGTTTAGCCAGTCTGACCTCTTGAAGTCCTGCATCTGCTAATGACTCATATGGACAGTTGTTTAAAAAGTGAGCAGATAGAAACAAAAATTAATGCAGCCCACAGGCTTACATGTAGCTGAAAGCTTTCCTGGTCCTGTCCGGCTCCCATGGCCCCACGGTCCACAGCTGCTCAGACACAAGTAAACACACAGAGGCTTACATTAATTAAAATTGCTCACCCATTAGCTCGGACCTATCACTGACTAGCTCTCACACTTAAACTCAGCCCATTTCTGTTAATCTATATGTCACCGGTGTTCCATGGCTTTACCTGTGTGCCATTACATGCTGTTCCCTGGACGATGGGCTGGCATCTCCTGACTCAGCTTTCCAGCCTTCTCACAATTCTCCGTCTTTGCTTATCCTGCCTATACTTTCCTGCCTGGCTACTGTCCAATCAGCATTTTATTTATTAACCAATCAGAGTAACACATTCACAGCATACAGAGTGATATCCACAGCACTTATATGCAAATGGAAAGTAACAAGGGGGGCTTAAGGGGAGCCCCATGAATCTCATTGAGAAGGGGAATAGGCTACACATTGCCAGTGGAAAGGGGGAGTGGTCTGGATGGGGCTAGAGTGAGGATGGAACAGGAGGGACCAGGTCGGGTGGAGCGGGGGAGATAAAGGGAAAGTACTGGGAGAGACAACTAGAATTGGGGTGTGGAGGGCATCTCTGGGGCAAGCTAGAAATCTAGTGCAATGGAAACTCCCAGGAATCTATAAGGGTGACCCTAGCTAAGACTCCTAGTAATAACGGATATGGAGCCTGAACCAGCCATTTCCTGTCACCAGGCAAGACTTCCAGTGGAAGGATTGGGACACCAACCTAGAAACAAAACCTTGGGTCACCTACAATTTTCCCTGCCTACAAGATGTGCTGGGGTAAAGGTGGCACAGAAATTGTGGGAATGGTCAACTAATGACTGATCTAGCTTGAGACCCATACTATGAGAGGGAGCCCATTCTTGACACTGCCCGGGAAGCTAAGACCCAGAGGCTGGATAGCACATAGACCTAGGATAGAACCAAACATGACTGGAAAAAAAAGAAAAAGAAAAAGCCAGTTAAATGATTCCTAATGATATTCTGCTATACTTACAGATGGGTGCCTAGCCCAACTGTCATCAGAGAGGTTTCACCCAGACATGAATGGAAATAGATGCAGAGATCCACAGTCAAACATTAGACAGAGCTTGAGGAATTCTGAAGAAGGGGTGGGAAGAAGAATTGTAGGAGTCACAAGAAAACCCATAGAATCAAATAATCTGGCCTCATAGGGGCTCACAGAGACTAAACCAAAAAGCAGGGAGCCTGCATGGGACTGACTTAGGCCCTCCGCACAAATGTTACAGTTGCGTAGCTTGGTCTTCTTGTGGGACTCCTAACAGCAGGAGCAGGGGCTGTCTCTAATTCTGTTGCCTACATTGGGATCCTTTCCTCCTGCAGGACTGCCTCATCCAACCTTAGCAGGAGAGGAAGTACTTACTCTCATGGCAACTTGATATACCATTGCTGGTTGATATCCCTGGGAGGCCTTCCCTTTTCTGAAGAGAAAGGAGGAGGAGTAGATGGGGATTCAGTGTGGTGGGGACTGAAAGAGAGGAGGGAGGGGAAACTGTGGTCAGGATGTGAAAACAAAATAAGAAAATAAAAAATAGACAAATAAATAAATAAATAAGAATAAATGATTTACTAATACACCTGCTTAGAAATATGAAGTTATACACAGTAAAATTTACTTCTTAAATTAGTAAAGGATCACTGCATCCAATATAACTGAAAGGTAAGTAGTATTCTCACTACATTTGTTAGAAACTGCGAAAAAGGAAATTCTGTACCACAGGTGAGATTTTGTTTGGTGTAAAAGTTTCTGCTAATGTTTATTCACCATGATTGATCTCCAATTAGGCTCTATTCCCATAACAAAAGGAGACAACCCTGAATTCCAACCGACTATGAGGTCCTTCTCTATATCAAAGGACAAGACTCTAAGGGGCAGCTCAAGGGGTCACAACCATCATTAAGTCCTGGTCTGCCATTAAGTCCCCTGTGCTCTTATCAGAAGAAGTATAATCTGCCAGGTGGGCATGATGAACCGAGGTAACAACTATCCAAAAAAAGAAGAAAGAGAAGGAGGAGGAGGAGAAGGAGGAGGAGGAGGAGGAGAAGGAGGAGGAGGAGGAGGAGGAGGAGGAGGAGGAGGAGGAGGAGAAGAAGAAGAAGAAGAAGAAGAAGAAGAAGAAGAAGAAAGAAGAAGAAGAAGAAGAAGAAGAAGAAGAAGAAAAGAAGAAGGAAGAAGAAGAAACCAAAATTGGTATACATATGAAATTTTCTGGCAATATCTTTGCAGTTTAAGTCTCCCAACTGCCTAAGTGGCCAGACACACAGTCTCCTGCCTCTCTTTAAATTGTTAAAAGTGTGACTTGTGGTGGAGACCTTAGAGATTTAAGGATGACAGTATACGTGGAATGCATAAGCCTTGGGTGTATATAGTTAGTAAAATCTTCTATTCCAGGCCAGCTCCTCTTTGAGCAGTAGCCAGAGTCAGATAAGCATCATTGAAGAGTTTTGCCTTCATTAACCTCTAACAAAATAGGGAGTGGTTTCTCACTTGGAAGGCACGTTGTTTCTGTATCAGTACTAGTATTTTGATGTGAATAAATTGGCATTGTGTTAGTATGACAAAAAGTCCTGGCTTTTGGAGATGGAAAGTCTTAAGGTTAAAAAGTCATAATGTCTCTATCCGTAATCTAGTAAAACAAACAGACAACACAGGACTGGAGATGTGGCTCAGCTGGTAGAGTGCTCGCCCTTCGTTCACAAAGCCCTGGGTTTGATCACCTTTATTGCATAGCACTAATGTGGTGGCATGTGCCCTCAATCCAGGCAGTTGGAAGGGCAGGTGAGAGGACCAGAAGCTTGAGGTCCAAGGCCCCTCTCCCTCTTCCTCCCCTTTCCTCCCCCTCCCATATTTTCATCTCTACTAGAAAATGATCTTAAGAGATGCTCTCTAAAGTATACTCTCTGGGGTTCTGTGGCCTTGAATAAGAGTTTAACCTCTTTAGAATTTCTAGTTCTTTAAGAATAAAGTAGGAATAATGATTCCACCTCTTTTGACTGAACAAATTATGTGAGGATGTTTATATGAAAAGCACTTAAACACGACATAGCATAGCATATACCCATTCTATTCATTGGTGGATTGTGTGTTCTTAAAATGATTTTTATTACTTCCATGAGAATTCTGTAACTGATGTCATGTCCAGCCATTGTCTAGATGGTGAGGTATTGAAGATAGGTGTCCCTCCTATCCACAGTGGTCTTTATATTCCTAGTGGTATTCACCACTGTTAAAGCTTTGAATATTTTATTTAAATTGTTCATTTGTTTGAAAGATATGGAGAAAATATTCCTTTGAACAAAACCCAAATAGTAACCCGTGTTCCTAACTATTATTTTAGATAAGCTATCTTGGCCTCTTTTTGATATCTTTTTACAAATTTGTTACCACATTTTACCTAGCTCCTTTTCTACTTGTTTCCAAGTAGTTTACCATCCCTCACCTCCATCTTAAAGGAGGCCCAGATTTTTGCATCAAGGTAAGTAGAATATACTTTTGAATTCTTCAACTGCAAGTTCCTTCACAAGGAATTTGAATTTGAATTCTATCTCTGTTCCTAGCTGTAGGTTTGGGTACATCAGCCCCTTAGCCAGAGGCAAAATCTAGCTAGGACCTGCTTTCCATGGCAGGTGTGGAAGCTAGCAATCAGAAATGATTTCTGAGAAGAATTTGGCACACTATTTTCTTGAGGTGTGTCTATAAATACTACTTTTACATTATAACCATAGTGGACTTGATTCTGAGTCCCATAGTTCTTCTTGCTCAGACACTGCCTCCTTGTATGTTAAGAATATTAGATACATTGAAACGTTCTCGGACACTTTTAGTCTTTCTATTTTGGTAAATGGATATGGGGAATGCAGTGGATAAACAATTTAATCTATATTAAAGAAGCTTTTAATTTAAAAAAAAATTACTATACTGTTTGAAACAATAACGAGAAAGAGCTACATAAACTGATGCACGTTTCGAAAGATGATTCCTAACAAGGACATTTGGTCTGTCACCTTGCCCCTCTAGGGGTTTGCCTCCTAGGAAAGACCTGAGGTGCCCTAACTGCCATCTTCCTACTGACTCAGCAGGCTTCAGTGGACCTCCTGCTGCAGCAGATGGCGCTGCAGAACCTGGAGTCTTGGCTTCTTCCCCTAGCCTTGCTGGTGGGGCAATCAGGATTCAGCTTCCAGCCTCCACCCCAAACTACTTCCCAAGTGCCCAGCCCAAGGCGGGAGGGTAGCAGGTTCCAGGTTTTCGCGCGTTTTCAAGCCCCGCCCAGTCAAAGCTATTCCGGTCCTCCCCACTGGAGGAAATTCTAGCCACAGAAATGAAACCTGAAGAGTAGAACTGACTTTGACCCATTATGCAGCCTGGTTGGTCACACCGTGGATCAAGTAACATTGGGATTGGAGGGCTATGTCGAGGTCGGAGGAGAGGGTTCGGATAGGAGTGGAGCTGACTGGCGCCCATAAATCCCTTCGTACTGGCTGGTGATTGGCTCCGGAGAGGCTGTTTGTTCCACGTCACATGCTGCTATCTGTGTCCCTTGGACAGGAAGCATTAGGCGCGCTTTCCTTCTGTTAGAGAACCATTTCTGTGACTGGAGGAAACTATCCTGTTGCGGTGACAGGAGTGAGTGACTGGTGAGTTTGTAGGGAGCTCAGCCCTTGTGAGGACTTACCGCCCCACTTCCTGGCCGACCTGAACCCGGGTGGGACTTGCTGGCAGTGCAATGATAGCAGAAGAGCCTCAAGCATTTTTAGTTGAGAAAGTGTTGGGAGGAGAGTGAGTGCAGTTCCATTTGGGTGGTGTCTGCAGTTTTTGAGCGAGTAAAAGAACAAAGCTTAAGAGAAAGGATGAAAGGGTTTGGGTTTTTTTGTTGTTTGTTTTCCAGTGCCCAAGGAAAAATACCTCTAGTTTTAAAAACCTGGTATCTGTAAAATCCATTGTTATTTTTCTGAAAATGCCTTCTAAAATGAACTAAGCCATGTCTGATTGTGTACTGATTGTGTACTGCAAAGAGTTGAAATGTGATTTCCTGTCTGTACTCCTCTACAGCATTAAAATATAGGATGTAACTGACAGAAACTGACTTCTCTCTCAGGCATGTGCAGCATGCTCTGGGGGTGCAGCACGTGGACTGGCCTAGCAGGCCACTGAGTTAACCTGACTCTGAGTTAACTTTGTTATCTGTGTCCATCCTCTTAAATACACCACAGGAGAAATGTTCTTCCAGGAACTACAAAGCTGAAAATCCCTTTGATACCTTATTTCAGTAGTTTTCTCAAAGATCCAACTACTACCTTTCATAGAAAATATCAAATATACCCGCCACTCCTGACCTACTACCCTATCCTTACCTCCACATTATAGCCTGTTAGACCCAAGTTTAGAATACCAGATCTCTTTGTCTCTCCTCAACCTTGCTCTTCTCCTTCAGCACAGCCAAACATTTGTTCAGTAACTATTACCTCAATAGCAGTAAGTTTAACTTGGTTTTATCAACAGGTTTCTGGGAAGCCACACTGAATATTATCAACCTCCGGCTAGAACCAGTGTTTCTCTGTTTCTCCAGCCTCTGTACAGGTACTCTCAGTCCCTAAAGGTGAGAAAGGCATTATTGTGTTAGATTTTCAGTGTTTTTTTTTTTTTTTTTTACTGTTTCATAAGTTCTTAATTAATTTTCTTCCTATAGATAAAGGTACCTTTTACTACATCCTTCTATTACCAGATTTTGAAATGTTTGTGTGTTTGGTTTAAAAAAAAAAGTGTTTGAGGCCACTCCAGGTAGCAAAGAAACACTTGTCTTAAAAATTTTAAAGGTGATATTACACTACAACTGTGTTAATATTTTGATGTGAATAAACTAGCATTGTTATTATGAGAGGAATCGTCCTGAACTTTTAGAGATGGAAAGTGATACAGGGTTTAATATCACAGTACCTCTAAGGGTAACCTTAGAGGCATGAAGCCCTGGGTTGGATTCTAAGCATCACTTCAACCTAAACTGGAGGCACATAACTGTGATGCTAGCACCTAGGGAGGGAGGAAGATTGGCAGTTTAGTTTCAAGGCCAGCCTAAGCTGCATGAGACATTTTCTGAAGAAAGAAAAACAATTATTAATTATTATTAATTATGGGAGTGATATTGGAAATCCACTGTAACTGATTCTTTCCTCTGAGTCTCTTTGATCTCTCTCTCTCTCTCTCTCTCTCTCTCTCTCTCTCTCTCTCTCTCTCTCCTGCTCTTTCCATTTATTTCTACTAGAAAATATTCTCAATAAAAACTCTCCAAAGTGTATTCTCTGGAGTTTCTGTCCTTGAAGAAATTTCAACTTCTCTAGAATTTCATATCCTTCATGGGTGAAATAAGACTAACAATGTCAATCTCAGGTGGTTGAAAGAATTGTTTTGTTTAAGCATTCATTCTCTTTTCAGAGACAGCACAAGGAAAGGTAGATGAAAAAATACCTTTTCACACACACACACACACACACACACACACACACACACACCACACATACTCCAAAAAAACAAAGTAACAAACAAGCAACACTCCTCAAAAAAATAAAAAATAAAAAAATAAATAAACTGTAAAGTAGAAATTATGTTTCCTGAGTATCTATCATTTTGGACAACTTTCAAGATTTTCTGCATTCTTAGAGCTAACCTCATGATACTCATGCTGGTTAATAATAAGAGACCAATTGTAGAGAAATTCAGCCACATAAAAATAGCCTATAACTTAAATTATTGCAATACTGTATGAAATAAATTCAATTTATATATATTGGGAGCAGGGATATGTATCTTAGACAGGGAAGTGATTGAGGCCATGGTTCAAAAATCACTTAAAATTATTTTCCAAAAAGAGTGGCTGGGTCTTGAGGGAACTACAACCTCCTAGTCCCTGATGGAACATTCCTGGGGAAGTACATTTATGGTGATGGTTGATGCAGGAACCAGCTCTCCCGGTAGATGGCTCTGTTCTGCGAAATGCTGGGCATGTCTGCGAAGGAAACCAGTATCTGTCACGAGGCATATTTTCCTTCTGAAATGTAGCACATTCAAGAAAACACATTTGTGAATATTTGCTGCACACAGCATTCAGACACTGGGAACTGAATCTGAGGCATTTTTCATAAAGTGAGTGACAGGATTTACTGGTTCCAGGTTTAAAAATGAGAGCAAGGTCTGCCTTGAACACCATAAAATGAAACACAATTTAAAACTCCTCACATAGCTTGACTTTGGCTTCTGTTCTGTTTTATTCCTTCAAGAACTACAAACTGCAGCCCCACTCCCTATTCAGGAAGGAGAGCACATTTGATTATTGGGGTTACTCTGTTGGATGGACAAACTCTTTGCTATGAAGTTGTCACCCTGTGAGATAAGAGAGGGATGGTGGGGTGTGGCACCTTGGGAAATATTCCCCTCTATACAGTATACATCACATATGAAGATACTGATATGACCTGAAACCATTTTGAAATTAGTAATTCGTCTGAGCTAACTATTTCATGTCTAATCCATCAGGTGTAAGAGGCATATCTCACAGAAGGTCTTAGTTGAAGCAAGGAAAAATATGGAAATCCTGCACTGTTTTTCTCAGGTATGTCTGTAAATACTGAAAGCATTCACAGCAGACTTAGCCATCCTTGGCCCTAGGTCCCAGGTCCTTCCTGCCATGAAACCATCTTATTGTGTATTGGGAGTATAACATACTCTATTTCTTGTTCACTTTCTTCTTTCTAGTTTGAAGAAGGGCACTGAGGAAGGGAATAATAAAATGAATGTCATCCATATCCATATGTCCTTCTAAATTTCCATCATTCTCAGGGTACTATGCAATTTTTTCCTACCTGTCCTTCAGTATTTTAACCATTCTTCTATACCCACCTTAAGTGAAGACCAGAGTTTAACATCAATATGAATTAAAACACTCTTTTGAGTTCCCCAATGCAATCCAATATTGGATATTGATATCTGCTCTTGGGTTCTATATTGGCTTCAAGCTGTGAGCACCTACCCCAAAAATTTTAGTTAGGACCTGTTTTCCATGGCAGCTCTGGGGATAAGCAATTAGACATAATGTATGCTGTGTTTGCTCTAGTTCCTGACACACAGTGTCTTGATTTGATTATTGGGGTGACTCTGTTGGATGGACAAACTCTTTGCGATGAAGTTATCATGCTGTGAGATGAGGGAGGAATGGTGGGGTGTGGCACCTTGGGAAATATTCCACTCTATACAGTATACATCACATATGAAGATACTGATATGACCTGAAACCATTTTGAAATTAGTAATTCGTCTGAACTAACTCTTTCATGTCTAATCCATCAGGTGTAAGAGGCATATCTCACAGAAGGTCCTAGTTGAAGCAAGGAAAAATATGGAAATCCTACACTGTTTTTCTCAGGTATGTCTGTAAATACTGAACACATTCACAGCAGACTTAGCCATCCTTGGCCCTAGGTCCCAGGTCCTTCCTGCCATGAAACCATCGTATTATGTATTGGGAGTATAACATACTCTATTTCTTGTTCACTTTCTTCTTTCTAGTTTGAAGAAAGGCACTGAGGAAGAGAATTATAAAATGAATGTCATCCATATCAAAGTAGCCTTTATTTAAAAAAAAGAAAAAGAAAAAAATACTACCTGAAAAAACTAGGGAAAAAAGAGATCAAATGCATTGTTTTAGATTAAAGTGGGAAAAAACAAAATGAGTGTTGTTCCTTATCATTAAAATATCTTCCCTAGTGTTTCTGATCAACTTAATCCTAAGAATCCATATCTGTATAATGCTTTGTGTTTCATGAAATGACTGAGTAATTCATTCTTACTATAACCCTGTTAGGCATGAGAGATTTGCTTATAAAACTACTGTTGCATGTTGTAGCCAGAAGTTTTCTCGGGTCCTGTGGAATCTCTCCCACCTGCTGGTGCCGCAGCCACTTGGTCCCAAATAAAAGTATACAGGCTTATATTATTTTTAAATTATGGCCGTAGCAGACTTCTCACCAGCTAGTTCTTCTATTCAAAATAAGCCCATAACTATCAATCTATGTATCGCCACGTTCCGTGGCTTTGCCTGTGTCCCATTACATGTTGCTCCTGGGGCAGCTCACTGGTGTCTTCTCTACCTCTCCTTTCTCTTCCTGTCTATCAATTTGCATTTCCCACTTGCTTGTAAGCTGTCTTGCCATAGGCCAAACGGCTTTATTTATCAACCAATCAGAGCAACATATATGATCCCATTAGAGATGGTTGTGAGCCACCATGTGGTTGCTGAGAACTGAACTCAGGACCTCTGGAAGATCAGTCAGTGCTCTTAACCACTGCATGTGAGGGCTCTGTGAGATCTGCTTTCCAGACTAAGTAACATGACAGTAAGGGCTCCCTGAACTGACCAAGAAGGCTGAGAAGTGTCAGGTATTTGAGAATCTCCTCCAGAGACCTGACCTCCTTTTCTTTATTCCAGGTTCTGGAAAACTAGAAGATCCAAATGCTTAGAATATCCATGAAAATCTTAGATCTGTTTCCCCCACACCCCCATCCTAGAATAAGACAGAGCAAGCGAATAACCGCATACACAACCTCTTGTTCCCTTTCATAAGTATCAGACCAGGCATGACAGCACATTCCTATAATCTCAGAATTCCGAACAGAGAAGGAATGGGATCATAAGTTGAGGAAAGCCTGGACTACAGTGTCTTAACAATCAAAAGAAAACTTTTGGATATCTAGGGCCTCTGCCACTGCGGAGGGATTGAAAGTAGTTGGACAGCAAACCTAACCACCTGAGTTAGATCCCTGGGATATATGAGGATAACTGACTCCACACAGTGATCCTTTGCCCTCCACATGAGTGGCACAGCGTGCTACAGGCCTGCACTCACATGCACAAACTCTAATGGTGCTTTTAGGTGTCTCTGTTGAATAGTAGAAAGCATATTTCAGTTCTTTCAAGGAGTGTGGCAGGAATGTTTCTCAGCATATTTAGACTGAAGAGACACCCTTTGAGACTTCCTAGGCAACCTGCTTTAAATTTATATAAGCTTACATTATTTTGTTCTCACCAGAATATCAGCGTCAATATTAAAAGATGACAGGCTTAATCTTCACCATGCTTCACCATTGTTATTCTCATTACCAGTGAGAGACATTGTGGGCATGTGAACTCATACCTGCTTGTTACACCAACAGGGAAACTGAACCTTTCAGACACAGGAATTGGATGCCTTAATTTTTAAATCATTTTTTCTACTTTAAGTGGTTTCCCCTTAATCCCTCCCTTCTTCCCATTCCTGGTTTTAAGATAATGTCTCAGAACATGGGTGTTCTCAGAATGTGTAGTCCAATGGAGAATATTAGACTAACAACTGGATTTCAAAAACTCACTTGCTTATTGGTTATCATGTGATTAAGAAAGGCACTCATTCAAAGCTCATGTGAGCTCACAGAGATTGAGGCAGCATTCACAGGACCTGCATGGGTTTGCACCAGGTCCTCTGTGTATATGTCATGGCTTCCACTTTAGTGTTTTCATGGGATTCCCGAGTGTGCCAACAAGTGAGTCTCTGATTTTTGGACCTTCTCTTAGGCTCTTTCTTCTGTTTGTTTTGTTCAACTCTGATGTGTTAGTTTTTGTTTTATCTTCTTATATTATTTTTAAAATGTGAAGTAGAAAGGAATTAGAAAATAAACATTCCATACTCGTCTTCTCCTTCTACAGGACAGTGACCTTTTAGTTATTGTTGTTCCTATATATTTCATCATGCTTGAGAACTGACATATTAAAGCAAATACTGTGAGTTTCTTTTGTGGTCGAGGCTAATTAAATTGAGGTACTGAGGAGTCATGATAATTGTGAATTTGAGGCCAACCTGGGCTGCAGATCTAGGTGCACAGACGCCATTGCTATTCAGTGAGACTCTGCCCCTCAGTTGTGTGTTTACATGTGCAAAGAAATTACAAAAGAACTCAAGCAATCTGTTATTATGCTTGAAAAACTTAAAATATCTTGTTTAAAATAACAAAGAAGAATGCAATACTTATCGAAGCCAATGTATGTTGATACATCTGGATGAATTCCTTCTGCCTGCTTGTTGAGCAAACATGGAAGGTCTGATATGAAGAGCCTATCTGGTCAATTTGAAAAGACTGGGCTTTGCTGCAGAATCCAGATCAGCTCTGATGTAATATTACTTGCTGGTGTTTTCACATTGGTTCTCAATTTTAGATAGGAATCATGTGAATTGCACCAAAAATCACAAGAATACAGTTGTAGTCATAGTTTTCAATGTGTCTATTACTTCTTTTTAGGTCCCCAAAGAACAGAATGAGCCCATAATTTCTCAAATGAAAATGGAATATAGAAAAAGACCAAAGGAGGTGACCAACAAGCAAGACCAAGGATCACACTGGGAACAAAAAACTCCACAAGATGAGAACCCTCCCCCAAAGAAGATCATTATCATCACCTTCGGCACACACCAGGCAACATTTGAAGTCATAGATGGGGAGACAGGTAGTTTATATGAGGCAGTCAACACCCTCGACCCTGTCAAAAGAGAGACAGAAAGACAGCCAGGCAAAGAAATGCTGGTGTATGGCAAAGGAGGAATAGAAGGGTACATAAACCTTGGCATGCCCCTCCGCTGTTTTCCGGAAGGCAGCCATGTGGTCATTACCTTTTCCAAAACTGAAAGTGAGGAGAAAGAAGATAATAAAGTGTGTGGTCGCTTTGACCAGTCATCTGCTGAGTGTGTTGTATTTTACATTCATGCAGTCGGGAATAGGGAGCAAAGGATCCTGAGGTGCAGGGAACTTGACAAGGAGGGGACCAAAGTCTGTGTGTATGGCTTCCAAGGAGAGACCATCAAGGCCACTCTGAGGAAGGATGGCAGGTTTCATTCCTTTGTGGAGAGTGACCATTGGAAACTCATTCACAATGATACCACCATAGCAAACACCCAGCCGGTTGATGTGTTACAGGGCAAGCTCTTTCAGATTGAGGTTGAAAGAAAGAAAAGCCCTTGGGCAGTAGCAGCACCTCAGAATTCTGAGTTAGAGGACAGAAACTTCAGTGAGTTAAAAGGATACATTGTGAATTTGTACCCCACACTGAAAAGAGAACGGGAAAAACTGAGAGCATACATCAAGGAAGAAAGTGAGAAAGGAAAGAAAACTAATTTATTCAAAGCACATAGAGCAAACTTCAGGAAGCTGACTCAAAACTCCACCCCAGGTAAAGTCTTCAAACTTCTTTCACAGCTCAGTGACTCAGTTGGGCTCCTAGTTTGGCACAACAATGGAAACAGGGGTAGTGCCACATGCTTTGTTTTTAAAGGGTTGTACATTTTCACCTGTCGACATGTAATAAATGACATTGTAGGGGATGGTGTAGAGCCAAGTCAGTGGGCAGATATACTTAGTCAATGTGTAAGAGTGACATTTGAATATCAAGTGTTCCCCATAAAAGAAGACAGCTATTGCTCTGTTGAACCTTGGTTTGAGGTGTCTGATGTAACTCTTGATTATGCTGTCCTGAAACTGAAAGAAAGTGGACGGCATTTTCCTACAGGACTCTGTAATGGAACACCTTCTGAATTACTTAGTGGGTTTGTGTATATGATTGGTCATCCAGATGGAAAGTATAAGGTTGTTGATGGTTGTACTCTGGTTCCTGAAAATGAGCAAAGGAAAAGTGAGGGCATTCAGGGAAAAGGAGCAGTGGGTGGCAGTTATCCCATGCAGTTTATCTATATGTATACCCAAAGAAGTTTCCAGAAGAACATCCATGAACCTCGTGTGGTTACCTGGGATAACACTTTTTATTGTGGGTCTTCTGGATCTCCTATATTTGATGCTAGAGGATCACTGGTAGCCATGCACACTGCTGGCTTCATTTGTGAGTATGCAAGTGGGTTTTCCAGTGTCATTGAATTGGGCTCCTCAATGAAACACATCCTTGATGATATTAAGGAAAACCATGAAACATGGTACAATGAAATTTGTGTATTCAAAGGGCTGTAGAAATACTGCGTCTAGAAGCCTGAGGACTATAGAGAATTCGGTCAGTTTCCTGTCTTTAAGGCAGTTGCCTGTGCATTGTTTTTCTGTAGGCAATGAAAATATTTTTTAAACTTTTAAATGTTGAGTTTATTTCATAGACAATTGATGTTTTACTCTATTTCCTATATATACCATGCGTTTTTAATTGAAAATAATTATTTATTCATTTTAATACCAAACACAGATTCCCCTCTCATCCCTCCTCCCTTCCGCTACTCCTGCCTTCTCACATTCCCTTGTCCATTCTCACATTTCGTCCCCTCCTCCAACAGGGGAAGTTCTCCCATCAGGGGACACCTAAGCCTGATACATTCAGTTGAGGCAGGACCTAGCCCCCAACCACTACATCAGGGTGAGCAAGGTGTCTGACCATAGGCAATGGGATCCCAAAAGCCAGCTCTTATACCAGGGATAAATCCTGATCACATTGCTGGGGCCCCTCAAACAAGCCCAGCTACACAATGCCTTCTGTATGCAGAGGTTCTAGTCCACTTCCATGCAGGTTCCACAACTATCGATCTAAAGTTCGTGAGTTCCTTTGAGCTTGGTTCAATTGTCTCTGTAGATTTCCCCATCATGATCTTGACCACTCTTGCTCATTTAATCCCTCTTCTCTCTCTTCAACTGGACTCCTGGAGCTCGGCCTGGTGCTTGGTTGTGGATCTCTGCATCTGCTTTCATCAGTTCCTGGATGAAGGTTCTATGATGACAGAGTATTCACCAATATGATTACCAGGGTAGGCCAGTTCAGGCACCTTCGCCACTATTGCTAGTAGTCTAATCTGAAGTCATCCTGGTGGATTCCCAGGCATTTCCCGAGAACCATGCTTCTCCCTTTCCCCATAATGTCTCCCTCTATCAAGATATCTCTTTCATTGCTCTCTCACTCCATCCCTCCCCCAGCTTGACCATCCCATTCCCTCATGTTCTCATCCCCCATCCCGTTTCCTATATATACCACCATTTTTAATAGATAATAATTTTTGTGCAATATGTTCTGATGATTTCTCTTCCTCCAACTCCTCCCAGATTCTCTCCACTTTCCCACCCACTCAAATCTACACCACAATTTTTTCTCTCTCTTATTGGAAAACAAACAGGCATCTAAAAAGATAAAATAAAATGAAACACAACCAAACAGGATAGGACCAAACAACCAGAAAAAGAGAGACAAAGAAAAAGCACAAGAAACACATACAGAGGCAGAGGCACTCATATTCACACACAAAGAAATATTGTAAAAGTATAAGTCAGCTAACACCCACCTATAAGCAAATACGTACCATATTTGTCTCTTTGGGTCTGGGTTACCTCACTAGGATGATTTGTTCTAGCTCTATTCATTTACCTGTAAGTGTCATAATTTGAGGGGTTTTTTAAACAGCTCAGTAATATTCCATTGTGTAAATATAGCATTTTTTCCTCCACTCACTTGTTGATGGACATCTGAGCTGTTTCCACCTGAACATGGTTGATCAAGTGCTTCTGTAGTAGGATATACAGTCCTTTAGGTATATGCCCAGGAGTGGAATGGCCAGATCCTGAGGTAGGCCTATTCCCAGCTTCCTGAGGAACCTCCACCAAGTTTTTCCACAGTGCTTGTACAAGTTTGCATGTCAGCCAGCAGTGAATGAGTGTTTCCCTTACACCACATTCTCAATAGAATGAGCTGTCACATTTTTAATTGAACTTGGCCATTGGGACTGGTATAAGATGAAATCTCAAAGTAGTTTTGGTTTGCTTTTCCCTGATGACTAAGGATGTTGGCCATTTGTATTTCATCTTTTGAGAAATCCCCATTTATATCTGTACTGTTTTTAAATGGGTTCTTTTTCTTGATGTAAATGGTTTTTGTCTTTTTTTAGCATACACACACACACACACACACACACACATATAATTTTTATAAGCTTTCAAGTTCAGTGAGATCTCACTTTTTATTATTCTTAGTGCCTGTGCTATTAACATTCTGTTCAGGAAATTTTTTCCTGTTCTAATGAGTTCAAGAGTTTTCCCCTCTTTCTTTTCTATTAGATTCAGGGTCTCTAGCTTTATGTTATTCAGGGTCTCTAGTTTTATGTTGAGGTGTTCGATCCATTTGTAGTTGAGTTTTCTTCACGGTGATAAATATGGATCTATTTGCATCCTTCTACTTACAGACATCCATATGACTAGCAGTATTTGCTGACAATGCTGTGTTTTCTCCAGTGTGTATTAATAGCTTATCTATAAAAAACCAGGTACCCATGAGTGTGTGGGCCTAAATCTAAGTCTTCAATTCTATTCCATTGATTTACATGCCTGTTTTTATGCCAATATCATGCCATTTTTATTATTATAGCTCTGTAGTATACTTTGAGGTCAGGCTTGGTGATATCTTCAGAATTTCTTTTATTATTCAGGATTGTTTAAGCTTTCCTGTTTTTTTTTTCTTTCCATATGAAGCTGAAACTTGTTCCCTAAATTGCTTTTGGTCATACTATTTTTGTTTGTTTGTTTGATCACAGAGACAGAATGGAAACTAATTAGAACACACAGACATTCAACTCTGGCGTAAACTCATCAGCAGTGTTGTTCTGCTTAGTTCTGGGCTAACCTAGCTGATTACTCCACAAAGGTATCTGTCTCTAACCTTCAGTTGCTTACAGGGTTCTAAAGTCTTCACCTTCAGATGGTCAGAGGCAACAATGGAGATTTAGTAAAGAAAGAAAACTTGGCAGTAAGATGATGAGACATTGATTACTTTTGAATGTTTTTATCAATTCTTTGAGAATTCCATGCAGTTTATGTTGACCACATTCATTCCTACTTGTTCCAGATCCACCCCCACCTTTCTACCTACCCAATTCTGTGTCCCTTCTCTTTCACATTTAATAGTCCATGGATTCCCAGCCACTCTGTCCATGTGATTCTAAATGTAGGCCGCCCACTGGAGTGTGGTCTACCTACCAAAGCCTCACCCTTAAAGGAACCTGGCCCTTCCTCCCCTAGAAGTCATGGAGTGTACACAGCTTCACAGGAGGAATTGGGGCAGAGGTCAGTTAATTCTATTTCTGAGAGATTCCTGGGTTTACTTAGTAATGACACCTGTCTTAGTTAGGGTTCCTCTTGCTGTGATAAAACACCATGAGCAAAAACAACTAGGGGCGGCAGGGTTTATTTCAGCTGATAACTTGTAGTCCATCAGTCAGGAAAGTCAGGGCAGGAACCTGGAGGCGAGAACTGCAGCAGAAGCCTGGAGGGAATGTTGCTTACTGGCTTGTTCTCAAAGTTGCTCAGTTTGCTTTCTTATATAACTCAGAACTGCTTGCCCAAAGGTGGCACTACCTGCAATGGCCTGGGTCCTCCGGCACCAATAGCTGATTAAGAAACAGCACCACAAGCTTGCCTACATGCCAAACTCGTGGGGACATTCTCTCAGGCGAGCTTCCCTCTTCCCACAGGACTCGAGCTCGTATCAAGAGACAAAGCACCAGCCAGCACACCACCTTTTTAGACCATGAGAAAGGTCTGTGTCTGCAGTGTTGTGTTGCCCTAATGCTTAGCTCCTTACCTGCCATTTTCATGGCTTAGTCACACTGGTCTCTGGAGACGCAGGCTGTGTCTTGTTTGTGGTGTGTCTCCATTGCCTAGTGTAGTTTTAATGCATACAGAGGTAGTACACAGCAAATAATTCACTAGATGAGTCCTGGAAGTACAATAATATTCTCTGAAACAGAGACATATCTACATGTGCATAAATGCTCTTTATGCATAGACACAAAACACAGTGAATACACACATGTGTTAATTTGTACCTGAATGGGAAATACCATATCAACTAGATAATATGTCTGCACAGTTTTTTTCTGTTGTTGTTGGTTTGTTTGTTTTCAGTTTTATTTGTTTTTCTGTGTATGGGTATTTTGCCTGCACGTAAGTCCATGCACCACATGTGTACCTGGTGTCCATAAAAGCCAAAACAGGGCATCGGATCTTCTGGCACTGGTGTTCCAGACAGTTGTGAGCTATCATGTAGGTCCTGGGAATTGAACCCAGGTCCTCTTGAAGAGCAGGCAGTGCTCTTAACCACTGGGCTACATCTCCAGCCCAAATTTCTTCTGCTTTTAATCTTATACATGTCATTTCTTTCTAAGCGTGCTTGAATCAGGTCCTCTTCCCAACAAGGGGAGATTCTTCACACATTTAGAGCAAAATCAATCAAATTTTACTAAATTTTCTTGTCAGGGCACACATACATTCTTTCCTTTGATGCCTTGTGTTTCCTAAATGACTTTGTAAATTTGCGTAGCTTAAGGTTCACTGTGCACTGTAGTTTCTACAGGATTTAGCAAGTGTGTAATGTCATACATTGGTCCTTAGATTGCCACACAGAAGTTGGGCTGCCCTAAAAGCCTGTGATTTGTGTCTTTGTCTCATCTCTCCCTCAGAACCAATGTAAATCAAAGATTTATTATGCTCACACTTTCATCTATTATTCCAGACTGCCACATTATACAGAATCATGTACTATCAGGTGCTGTTGGGACTGACTCATAAGCCATTAAAGTTTCTTCTGTATTTTGTGGTTTTATAGCTCATTTCTGTTTGTCATTGATTAATGTTGGATGGATTTATCACACTTAAAAATATGTATTCACCTTTTGAAATCCCATAGTTGCTTCCAGTTGCTGTGATTATTAATAAAAAGCCTAAAGACCTCTGTATTTCTGGTCGTTTTTAATGATGTATATCAATACTATTGACTAAATACCAATTAAAGGATGTGATTGATGGATTCTGTAGTAAAACAATATTTAGCTTTGCAAAAATCTGCCAAATTTTCTTTTAAAGTTTTGCATTTCTTACTCTCAACAAAAGACATACTATTCTAATCCCCTCCCCCAATCTGGTATTATCAGCTCCATGTGTGGTTTGTGTGATTGAGTTGGACTTGAGATATATTACTATAACTGGGAAGTCTGGAATTCTTCAGGGGTTACAAGGTTTATTAAAGAAATTGAAAATGTTTGGGGACAAATGGGATGTAATAGAGCTAGTACAGATACTGTAGGAACTAGGGGCTCTTTGAGGAGGAGAGGGATAGAAAATATCTCTAAAACTGCAGCTAGAGAGTGTCAGCCTAAAGCAGCAGAAGAAGGAGAAACGTCCCTGACAAAGGTGGGAATGTCTTAGGAGTTACTGTGATTTCTTACCATGACACTGGCCATTTATGGAGAGATCTTAACTATATTACTTATAAGTAAGATATTGCAATGCCCTGTCTGATGTTCATGTCCTTCTGAGTCATAATGGCCACCACTAGGTTTCTATTTTACAAGATACCCATATATCTTTTTCACTGGCAGATGTTAACCCCAGAAAAATGCAGGAATCTGGGGAAAATGGTTCTCAGCCTTGTAAGGCAGTAGTGGTACTACTTGCTCATAGATAAGGATCCCCCATGTGTTACATATACACATATACATAATCATAAAGTATCACTTTCAGTGAGCTAGTGATGAAGATTACCAAGTATCTTACAGCTTCACTAACCACTGATGCCAAACCATGTGGGAATTCTTGATCTGACAAGTAATTCTCCCTCTAAAAAAAAAAAAAAAATCCAACTATCAATGTTTTTGTTCAGCTGCCCTGTTAATTAGATGATGCCATCATAGAAAAGCATGCTTAAGAGTGTCATATTGAAATTGGGCACAGGCATGAAAATTTCTTCTCTTTTCCACAATAAACTCCCATATTTCCATCTTTGCTTGTGTTCCATGTAGAAATTCCAAGGGAGCTGAAGACATTTTTAATTTTCTTTGGTTCATTTTATTAAAGAATTTATTTTTGAGACTCATTTTCAGGTATTCAATCTTACTATATAGACAAAGTTGACCTTGAATGGCCTTTATGTCTCTGTGTTTGTGCATGTGTACTTGTGTTTGTGTGGCATGCTTGCGTGTATGTCTTTCAGTGTGTACATATGGACATGATTGAGCACATATGTCTATGTGGGCATACGAGATGTGTTGTGGGTGTGTGGAGGTCATAGGTCAGCATCAGGCATCTCATTCATTCCTTCTTCACCTTATTTTGTGAGACAGTTTCTCTCACAGGACCTGGGGATTACTGATCTGGCCAGACTGGTTATCCAGCAAGCCCCAGGATTGTGCTCATTGTCCTCCTCAGTACTAGAGTCAGGCCAGGTAGGGAGCACCTGGAGTTTTCTGTTTACTAGTTATCCAATTCTGATGTTATGCCCATGCAGCAAACACTTTATGAACGGAACCATTTCTCCAGCCCTGGAACTCCTGATCCTCTCACCTTTACATGTGCTTGAAGTTCTGACCCTCCTGCCTCCCTCTCCCAAGGGTTAGCATTACAGGACTATGCCAGCATATCAGATGTATGAGGGGCCAGGAACCAAATCCAGAACTCAGAGCATGCTAGGTAAGCAGTCTAACAAATGGACTTCATACTCAGCTCTCCAGAAGGCTGTATTCATGTATACAGTTTATTAAAAACCAGGTTTCTTCATGACATTTTCATACATAGTTTTGGTTCATTCAGCCTACCACCCACTCCTCTCTCTGCCCATCTCACTTTCATCTCCCTCCTACTCTCACAATTTCTCCTTCCACTTTGATACCATGTTTTACAGTGATCTCCTTGACCATCTCACTCAAAGTCGGACCATCTCTGCCATGTCCATCTCAAGGGGCCTCTTTCTTGTTCCTTCCTCTAACCATGCTTACTTCCACCCACAGTCACATATAAAGGCTTTCAATGTGGCCTTTGCTCAGTTTTCATTTCTGCCACCTTTCTTTCCAAAACATTCATTTTCACTACTTCCTATGATGTTTGTCATACATTTTCTCATTCATATTAAATTTTCTTACACTTGACAGTAGAGAAAAAACTAACAACACTTTCCCACAATTCCTTTTATTCTCTGATAGCCACTAGAAATGATGTCAACCAGCATGAAGTAACCCTTTAAGTTTGGAATTCATAACTGAACAATAATGAACAATGTCAATCCATATTTACCTTAAATGAAAGTTCCATCTGACCAGAGCACACTGTACCTGCAGCATGGGGTGAAGCTATTGAGTCTATACTCAGCCCTGAGATCAAGTAGCACTTTCAGAAGGTGTAGAGAATCATTTGTATATGATCGATGTTGCTCACGGATGCAACAACTCAAAGATATATAAATCTGAGGATGCTTCCTAAGTGGCTGCGCTTTTAAAGTCTCATTTTAAAGTAAACTTTGGTTATCCAAAGATCAAATGCCTACTTCACAGTGGCTCTTGGGAGGAGGATAACGATTCCGAACAAGAAGGAACTTGAAGGAAATGAAGTACGCTTTGTGTCTATGCCTGAGTGGTGAGACTGTCAAGAAGCTCTCTGCAAAGTTGGCCAACTGTGGTCTGACCTATATGAACTCAAATGGATACTGTCATAATTAGCTTTAGCTGTCAACTTGACACAAACCTAAAGTCACCTGGGAAAAGTGAACCACTGCTGATGAACTTTCCAGATCAGATTGGCCTGTGGCCATATCTGTGAAGCATTTTCTTAGTTTTTAATCGATGTATGAGGGGAGCGCCCAGTGTGGGTAGACCCGTCTCTAGGTAAGTGGGCCTGGCCTGCATAACACAGGAAACTGAACAAGCCAGAAAGCACCGCGCACGTGTTTTCTCCCACGAGCCCTTATGTTGAGTCCCTACCTTGGCTTCTCTTTATGATGGACTGTAACTTGAGAAGTGAAATAAACTCTTTGTTCCTCAGATTGCTTCTGGTCAGAGTGGTTTATTGCAGCAACAGAAAGCTAACTATGACAGACACTAAGAGAAGGTAAAAAAATAATTCGTGTACAACAGTCTGTAGTTGATATCAAGTTTTAAAAAGTATTTCAAAATCACTTATAAATGGACAGTTATTTAGACAGTACACCTATTGAATTCTTTGTGTCTATGTGGAGTCAACAGAGACAAAATCCTTGGGAAAATTACACAACAGACCCCACATGGGAAGGCACTGTGCTATGAATCTGGGTATCTAGAAGAAGATAGCTCATCTCTTGATGAATTTTCAATGTTGGTCAAAGCCATAGTACATCCATATCAAAATTTTATTGTGGAAGAAAAAAATAATTATTTTGTCAAGACAGGGTTTTTCTGTGTACCGCTGGCTGTGCTGGAACTTGCTCTGTAGACCAGGCTGGCCTTAAACTCACAGAAATGCACCTGCCTCTGCCTCCTGAGTACTGGGATTAAAGACCAGGGCCATCATTATCTGCCTGGCTTGGGAAAATATTTTGAGGAAGGATATAATATGACAAAATTCCCAGTGTTTTAGAAATCCAACATAGTGGTTGGAGAAATGGCTCAGTGCTTAAGAGCATTTACAGAGAAACCCAGCGTGATTCCCAGCACCCACTCAGCAGCTCACAAAGGACTGTGAATTCAGTTCCAGGGTTCCGGCATCTTCTTCTGTCCTCCTCCTGGATACTAGGCATGCATGTGCTGCACAAACATACATACAGGCAAACGCTCTTACAGAAAACAAAGTAAATCTTTCATAATAATCCATCATGCTAAAAGTGATTGGAAATTCATATACAGTTTCAGTAAATGAAACAGTTCTTGAAATTAGCTATTTTCTTCTATATGTAGAGGAACAGATGATCCTGCCAAGTACTTCTTCATGTCCAGGCTTTGAAAGTTGTAGTTCCACTTATCTGGGCTTTTTTTCTATAATAATGATTATATACTCTAATGATGAATGAGCTCATAGATCTAAGTTTGAGGCCACAATTAGTAATAAGCAAAGGTAGCTTTCTGTTGAAATAGTTCTGGTGTTCTCTGGTGTTGTATTTCCACTGAGACATGGTTTGTACTGTATAATAGAATTCTAGAGTATAAAATTAAATGGGACAACACAGGGACTGGGGACATAGTTCAATTGGTAAATTTAGTCAGTCGCTGTGGGGAAAAAAAATCGAAAAGTAATTCAATGAATGAAAAGGATGGAGATTATAGCTCAGTGGTAGAGGTCTTAACTCGCATGCACATGGCCCGGAGTTTAATTTCTAGTGTCTGAGAAAAAAGAAGGGAGAGGGAAGGAAAGAAGGATAGAAAGGTAAAAGGCATGGTTCTGCTGTGGTTTTGAAATGGTGGACAAGCAGCTCTTCGATGCAATGGAGACTTTACCACCTCAGGTGTGTGTAGCTTGAGGAGCTGAGATGCCTGATAAATCAACAGCCTCCAGAACCTCTCCAAGCCTGTGCCTTCTAAACTCAAGAAGGGAGTTTCACAGCCTGAGAGAGGATAGTTTGTAGAAAGAAGGTGAAATATAGAAGCAAACAGAAGGAAAGAGCACAGAGACCCCAGGAAACAGAACAACATAAAACTATTAGTCAAGGGGCTTTTTGTAGAACTAATAGCAGAAATGGAGGTGAGGCAGGGAGGACATTCAGCCCAGTCAGCCTACCCACAAGGTGTCCATGTGTCTATTAGTTCAATCATGACCTCAGTGTAGCTTCCAGCCAGTGGGACTTGCATTTAAGGTTATGTAAATGGAGTAGAAATGTAACAAGAAGCCAGAGCAAGAACCATGGGTCTCTTCTGGCATTTCTAGCATCCAGCTAGGAAAGAACCAAGGTCATTTCCAGCTTCTGTACAAGAATTGAGGTCCCTATCCCTCAACTGACTAT